CTGTTGCACAGACAACATCTTTGTGCTGAAGCGATTCATCGAGCAGTGCCGGAGCTTCCAGATTTCCGCAGCAGCCTTCCATTCAGTTCAACACAGATAATATAGCGTATTATTCGTCACTACACCTGATTCCACAGGCGATGGTAAACCTAGTAGGAAACCTGTACGACGGCACTAAATGCACCTCTGAATTTAAGGATCATTCTCGAACTGGTTAAACATTACCAGGGGAGTTCGTCAAGACGAGGAGCCTTATCTTCTTTGCTACTCAGCATCATGACGGACTACTTTGTTCGGAAGTGTGTCATCCCAAGTAACAGTGAAGGGCTGACTGTTAATCAGCGCCGCAGTTTGCGATACCTGGTCGTCTTCTGATAGAACCTTGAGTATGCGGATGAAATCGTGCTTCTGAGTTACTCTGCAAGTGGACTACTGACACTCACTGAAAGCATGTGCAACACGGCTCTGAGAGTGAGGCTACAAGTGAACACCAAAAGACAAAAATCATAAGGCCCTCGTCCGCGATGGGCAGTTCAAGGATGCCATAGAATGGTGTTACGAGAGACCCGGTGGACTTTTTCAAGCACATCAGAACTGTGTCGACTAACGATGGCAATATTGATCCTCATGTAATTCGACACGCATCAGCGAATTATGACAAGCTCGATGACATATAAAGGGATTGAAGTATAAGAATGGATACGAAGATCACCATTCTGAAAGTAGCCGTATTCACGGTGCTCATGTACAGTCTCGAAGCATCTGCCGTCCTAAAGCGTTATAAAGCTCGTTTAAAGAGCATACAACAAAGTTATCTGCCCAGCACCCTCAAAGTGCGATGGTACTACCGGGTCAGGAACGAGCAGGTATTTGTCGACCACGGGTCTGTGAAAACTATCATATGAACTCATAAGCCGTCACCTCGCTCGATTTGATAAAATGACCCAAAGAGGTAATGGAATAATAATAAAAACTTTTGTCTCTTGGGAGCCGCGCACTGGCCGCAGACGCATGGGAAGACAATACAAGACGTGGAAAAGCTTTGTTGAGGCAGACTTGTTGCGGAGAGGAATACGAATTTTGCCTAATGTCAATCGGAAGTACCTTTTTTATGGTGAGACGGGTCACTCTGCTGTGTAATTTGTATTCACCTTGGTCGAAAGTAACAGAACAACAACCATAAACGGTAGTTGTCTAATTTCGAAGAAATCCAAAATTTTGAACATTTGCGGAGTTCATTTCACACCAGTGAAATGTAAGTTGTCCATTTCTTCGACAGTAGTGTTTCAAGTAATTCTGTCTTTTGTTTAAGAAGTGAACAAAATGAACTTACAACTTATGAGATTTTTTGAGATTGATTGCCGAATTATTATTCATGAAGTGAAATTACGAGTACTGTTAGTTGCTGATCAACGGAATTTAGAAACTAAAAGGGATCTACTCATCGAAAATGCCAGAGGCGCAGCGACTTCAAGGCGAAGTGGCAGCAAAGCTCGGAGAGCTGATCGAGGTTTTTTCCGGATCTCGCCCCCTGTTGACCGTTCAGAAAAATGGTTTATATTTTGAGCGTTTTCTTCCTACTTCGCATTTGCTAACGCATTATTTTCAGACCGTATTTGTGAAGACCTGGTTAAACTAAAGTCGCAGCTTCAGGAAGTATGTTTTGACAATCTCGCCATTGCTGGGTACAAAGTACTTACACTGGTGAAGAACTTGGACGAGGTATATTTGTGTAGAGTACTTAACCGGCTTCACGTTACTTTTCTGTTTTTTGTTCTTAGTTTTTATCTTCTTGTTTCCTCTCCTTTTCTTTTGCTTTTTCGTCTTATTCAATTTCTGCTCTTTTTCTTTTCCTTATTATCGATTTCCTCATCTTTCTGTTGATGTTTTCATTTCTATCTTTCAGCTATATTCTTCTTTCTTTGCTTGTTATTCCACTTTCTCTTTTATTCCTCATCGTTTTCACATGTCATTGAACTGTTTTTAGCTCTTTCATTTAGTTACAAGAGCTTCACGGATTGGATGCCCAAGAAATTGTGCGTGATTTTCTTAGCGGTGTTCGCAGCCTTATGCACATGATGGTGCGCGTCATTAAGCTGAACGAGGATGCGCTCATTAAGCTGCAGCTGATCACGGACATGTCTTATGCTTGGGAAATTATATACGGGTGCGATTGGAATTTATTCTCTTAGTAGATTTGGCTAGTTTTTACTTGTTTGTTTGTTGTATAGCTTCACGGAACGAATGCAAAGGTTCGTGCAAAAAGATCCAACTATGTGTGTCAAATTGCGTGCCGTATTCCTTAAGGTTCGTACCATTTAAATTAATGAAAAGGCCAATATACTTTGTGTTCATAATGATATCTAATAGGTCATCACTAGGGTACGCCTAAAATCAGCCACGGCTTTGTTTCAAGAGCAGATATCATCTGTCTCAAATGTTCATTGCGTCATTTTGCTTTTGAATGTCTGAAATGTTCAATCTGTTAAATGAGAGCATCAGAGAGGTCAGTCGTTCTACAATAGCTACCAGCTGCAATTCTGGGAAGCTAGCGAATATATTTTATAACCAGAGTGAGCTGACAAACTATTACCTCTGACAGGTTCAGCTGTGCTGGGACGAATTGAGAAATAAACTCGGCCAAATGCAAGAGGCGGCACTCACCATTCCGCCTGCCCAGCTTGGTGAGTTATGGCCAAATCCTGCAATTTCAAATTACTGTAAATTGTAGACAAGACAATGCAACAGAGAAAAGTGTATTTTGTAAATAACGAAAAATGATACGAAGATGAATGAATTGGTAAGAGCACGAATCTGCGATGTCACTGCTCAAGTGCAGATGTTTAAGTGGCAATGGGAAGGGCATATGGCGAGAAGAATCTGCCATCGCTGGACTAGGGAGATATCAGACTGGATTCCAAGAGAGGATAATCCCTGTAAAAAGACCTGCGGATGCGATAAAAATGAGCTGAACAAGTTCGTTGGATAAAGAGAGATAAGAATCACAGAAAATAAAAGTTTATCACACAACCTTAGAGATCATCAATCAGCAGTGGATTAAAGTAGGC